AAAGGAAATATTGCCATTTGTGACAACACAAATGATTCCCAAGGGTATTATGCTAAGTGAAATAAGTCAGAAAAATAAACACTATACAATCCTACTTACACATGGCATCTAAAAAGCAAACCACCACCAACTGAAAACAAGTTCATGGATACAGAGAACAGATTAGTGGTTGTATATATTGCAAATGATCACCACAATAAGTCCAGTTAACATCTGTCACCAGTTACAAAACTGTTATGAAACTGTTAAGATTTATTCTCTTAGAAAGTTTCAAATATGACTGGAAATTTGTATCTTTTCAGCCCCTTTATCCATTGTGTCTGCCCCTACCCCCAGCCACCCCTGGCTGGGGCTCAAAAGGTACACAATTCCAGTCATATTTTAAACTTGGTAAGAGATTAAATCTTAGTTTCATGACAAGAAAAAAAAAATTGTAACTATGGTGACAGATGTTTAACTTAACTTACTGTGGTGGATCATCTGTAATATATACCTGAAACAAAATACAGTCTGTCAATTAAAAAATTTTATCTGATTCTTGCTGATCCCCAGAATTCAGTGAGTATTCAAACATACTAGGTTTCCCTTCTTTTGATAGTAATGCTGCTGTCTGCATAGGTTCAGTAAAAGTATGTTCCCCTTTTCACTAGTTTGTACTTCTTTCATAAAGGGTTGAACAATCAATTATATAACCAAGGGCTTACGTGAAATGTCATATTTGAGAATGATAGCTATTGAATTAGATACGACAAGTCATTTTAAGGAATAAAGTTGGCTGTACTTATGGAGCCAATGCTTATGATGCTTCGGGCCCAGTAAAAGATTACTTTGTCAGGTCTGGGACATTGTCATGGGAAGAACTGTGTTCTCCCCAATTCTTGTTTGAAGTCCTAATTCCCAGAGGCTTCAGAAAGTCACCTTATTCAGAAATACGGTCACTGCAAATATAATTACTTAAGCTGAAGTCATAATCGAGTAGGGTGGTCCACTAATACAAAATGAGTGGTGTCCTTATAAAACGGCAAAATTTGGACACACATAAGCACACAGAGAGAATGAAGGCAGAGACTACTAGCCAAGGAATACCAAAGACTGCCAGCAAACCACCAAAAGCTAAGAGACACACGGAACTCTTACAGCCCTCAGAAGGAAGCAACACTGCCAACACCTTGATCTTGAACTTCAAGGCGAGAGGACTGTGAATCAATAAATTCGTACTGCTCAAGCAACCAAGCTTGTGATATCTTATTATAGCCGCCCTAGCATACACATCTATTTCTGCTTTATTGACTACGCCAAAGCCTTTGACTGTGTGGATCACAACAAACTGTGGAAAATACTTCAAGAGATGGGAATACCAGACCACCTGACCTGCCTCTTGAGAAACCTGTATGCAGGTCAGGAAGCAGCAGTTAGAACTGGACTTGGACCAACAGACTGGTTCCAAATAGGAAAAGGAGTACGTCAAGGCTGTATACTGTCACCCTGCTTATTTAACTTATATGCAGAGTACATCATGAGAAACGCTGGGCTGGAAGAAGCACAAGCTGGAATCAAGATTGCTGGGAGAAATATCAATCACCTCAGATACGCAGATGACACCACCCTTATGGCAGAAAGTGAAGAGGAGCTAAAAGCCTCTTGGTGAAAGTGAAAGAGGAGAGTGAAAAAGTTGGCTTAAAGCTCAACATTCAGAAAACTAAGATCATGGCATCTGGTCCCATCACCTCATGGGAAATAGATGGGGAGACAGTGGAAACAGTGTCAGACTTTATTTTGGGGGGCTCCAAAATCACTGCAGATGGTGACTGCAGCCATGAAATTAAAAGATGCTTACTCCTTGGAAGGAAAGTTATGATCAACCTAGACAGCATTTTAAAAAGCAGAGACATTACTTTGCCAACAAAGATTCGCCTAGTCAAGGCTATAGTTTTTCCAGTGGTCATGTAAGGATGTGAGAGTTGGACTGTGAAGAAAGCTGAGCGCCGAAAAATTGATGCTTTTGAACTGTGGTGTTGGAGAAGACTCTTGAGAGTCCCTTGGACTGCAAGGAGATCCAGCCAGTCCATCCTAAAGGAGATCAGTCCTGGGGGTTCATTGGAAGGACTGATGCTGAAGCTGAAACTCCAGTATTTTGGCCACCTCATGCCAAGAGTTGACTCATTGGAAAAGACCCTGATGCTGGGAGGGATTGGGGGCAGGAGGAGAAAGGGGACGACAGAGGATGAGATGGCTGGATGGCATCACCAACTCGATGGGCATGAGTTTGAGTAAACTCCAGGAGTTTGTGATGGACAAGGAGGCCTGGCGTGCTGCGATTCATGGGGTCGCAAAGAGTCGGACACAACTGAGCAACTGACCTGAGCATACAGATTCTAAAGAAAGGTTTACCCTTTGCCCAGTTCCAAGGATAGAGTCTCAAAGTCTTGGGAATATCCTATTAAGTGTGTCTTTGTTTATTTGTGGCCTTGAGACCATATCAGATAGTTTATGCTAAAAATGTGATTTATGGTAGGGGCCACAGACTCCTAGAGCAGCTGAGTAAATAAAATTCACATTTAACTAGTTTCTATCCTACACAGCTTTAGTACAGTACAAAGTAATTATAAGCCATAAAATTGTGGTAGAATACACATAGTAGAAATTTTGACTGTTTTAACCATTTTAAAGTGTTAATTTCTGGCATTAAGTAGATTCACAGTGTTATGCAACTACTATTATTGTTCATCTCCAGAATATTTTATCATCCCAAACAGAAACTTTGTACCCATTAAAGAAGTCCTCATTCTCCCCTCTCTCAAGCACCTGGTAACCACTGTTCTCTCGTTCTCTATAAATTTGTTCTAGGTACCTCATGTAAGAGGGATCATATAATATTTGTCCTTTTGTGACTGGATTCTTTCACTTAGCATAATAATGTTTTAAAGGTTCTTCCATACTGCGGCACGTACCAATATCTTATTCCTCTATATGACTAATACTCAATTACATGCATATTCCATATTTATCTATCTATTCATCTGTTGATAGACAAATGAATTGTTTATACATTTTGGCTACTGTGCGTAAACAGTTTTTTAATGAGACTAAATAGGAACAATAATGACTACCTTTAGAATTCTATTTCCTTTCCCACTTTAATACAAATAATCTCAAAGTATACAGTTTTAAAGGCAACAAAATGCACCTATAGGTGACTAAACTTTATGAACAGAAATACATGACTCCTTACAATATCCATGCTGCTTTAAATGACAAAAATCTCTTTTTTAGGTTATTAATGGTGCCTTGTGGAAGAAACTGATATGATGAAATAACAACATGTTCCTATGGACATAAGAAAAAGAACGATACTATTAAAATAAATGCAAGTTCCAAACCTAAGAATGACTGGAAGAAAGTAAAGCCATATTCTAACACAAAATCAAACATAAAGAAGAAAAAAACAGTATCATATTCTGATCTTTGTTAAATAAGTATATAACTGAGATAGCTTTTCAGCTACAAAAAAAAAAATCTTCAAAGGTAATTCATATTAAAAAGTTATGGATCTTTTCAAATGTTGATCTTCATAGCAGGTTCATCACTAACTCAAGTCCCACAGCTCAGAGAAAAATCCCAAAGAAAATCAAATACAGATAACATAAATAAAAAAAATTTCTGAGGTATAGTTCAGGATGGTAAAGAAAATATTTTATAAAGTACATTTTGGTTGCATCATGTCAAAGAAGTGAATGAGAAAACAGCATTTGAGTACTTCAAATTTTTTAGTAGTAAACTAATATCAATGAAAAGATAACCAGATCTATTGAAAGAGTAACAGAAAATAAATTATACATTTGGCTAAAACAGTGGGATATAAAAGCAAATTTTAAAGTTTAATATTTTGAATAAATAATATATACATATGTTCAAATTTCAGAGAAGCAGACAAGGTTATATATGTTAAAGCCTCATATATACCCAAGACTGTTATAGTAATTGTTAAAGTCTCGCATATACCCAAAAGAACTGAAAGAAGGATCTTAAAGAGATATTTATACGCCCATGTTTATAGCACTATTCACAGCTGTTGAAAGGTAGAAACAATCCAAATATCCATCAGCAATTAGTAGATAAACAAAATATAGTCTACACGCACATGCTGTTAATAGCTTTACTATTAACATTCATGCTGTAACATGGATGAACTTTAAGGACATTAACGGTAAGTTGATAAAATAAGCCAATCACAAAAAGGCAAATACTGCATGATTCCACTTATGAGGTGAAATTGAAAGTGTTAGTTGCTCAGTCGTGTCCAACTCTTTGTGACCCCATGGACTATAGCCCGCCAGACTCCTCTTGTCCATGGGATTCTCCAGGCAAGAATACTGGAGTGGGTTGCCACTCCCTTCTCCAGGGGATCCTCCCAACGCAGGAATCAAACCAGGTCTCCTGCACTGTAGGCAGATTCTGAACCATGTGAGCTACCTGAGCAGCCTTATGAGATAGAATCAAGTCAAATTCTGAGAGACAGAATGCAGAATGACTGCCAGCTAGTGGGAAGAGTGAATGGAGAATTGTTTAATGAACAAGGAGTTTTAGTTTTGCAAGATGCAACAAGCTCTGGAGGTAGCTGCACAACAGTGTAAATGTACTTAACACTACTGAACTGAGCACTTTAAAAACGGTTAAGTTCATAAACTTTGTTAAGTGTATTTTACCGTAATTAAAAATAAAAAACCAAAAGTATTTCCCTCCCACTGGTCTCTAACCACCATTTGGTTTCCAGCCTCTGAAACCACTTTCATTATTTTATTTATCCTGTGTTTCCTTATGCATATACAAGCAAATATAAATAAACTAAACCACAGCATATAGTATTCTGTATCTTACTATTTTCCCTAAACAATGCATCTTGGAATTCTTTCATTTCAAATTGTAGAAAAGTTCATCTCTTAAGAGCAACATTTAAACAACAGTTTTAGCATGTGCTGCAAAGTTTTAAAAGAACTTACCAAAATCTGGTGGACACTGCCCATTATAAGGAAACCAATTTCCTTTCACAGTGAATGGACTTTTCCTGTTGCTTGTTGAACCAGTTCCTAGCTGTCCATTACCACCAAGTCCAAAAGAATAAATTCGTCCTGATGAAGGAACAAAAGCAGAAGTGTGCTGCCTAGAGTAAAATGACAGAAAACCTCAGACTTAATGTTACCTTTCATGTAAATATAAAAATAGTTTACATTTAGAAAAGACAGTGAACATTACTGGTATAATTTTTCTCTTCAAAAGTAAGTTAATAAATTAGAGTTTTCAAGTTTTCTGTACAAAATTTTATTAAGAGCCTTATTCTATACTGAATGAATTCTGTATCACACAGGTAGACTGCTTAAGTATGGTCCAGAAAATTCCCACAAATGTCCAAATTTAAAAAGGCCCTGCTCTATACTGATATCTCTTTCACTATATGATTCAGCACTAGAGGCAGCATCTAACTGCTGTCCAAGGAAATCACCCAATCACCTTTTCGATCAGGTTCTAGCTTAAAGCTGTAGTCTGTAAGGGCCTACACCATGTGGGTATCACTCAAAAGCTTTAGGCTAAGAACCAGGCAGAAGACTGGTATATATAAACATGTATGGTAAGACAATGTTTCCTTTCTTCAAAAGGAACTGATTCTTATGTATACACACTCAGATTTCTCTAAAGGTACCAGAGTTGAAGCAAACAAATCACAAACCTAAGAAACTACAAAACTGAAGCTAGCGAAAACCCACTAATCCTGAATCTGTCCAACTCCCTCTGATGCTTCATCACTATATATTTAGGAATGGGCTAAAGGTGATCATCCAGCTCAGGTGTTGTGTTCCTCAGTTTCATGGATTCAATCAAGTCTGGCAAATTCTTATGTTATTTCTGTAAATACTGTCTCTCTCCCATGTATTCAAGGCTCTTCTTGATAATATTAGACAAATGTTTTATCTTCCCAACTCTCTAACAGTCTTTTAACGTCTCCTAAATATCCATATCCAATTTCCCTATATCTGTTTTTCATATTATTACTTTTCTCTTTAGCAGTATGTCCAACCTGCTGTTTCCACTATCCACTGAATTTAAAAATTTAATGACTATGTTTTACCCATTTCTAGTTCTTCTTTTCAAATCATGCAGACAGTTACTTCATTTAAAACCCTTAATACATTGTGAAACATAATACATATACATCAATTCAGGACTATTCTGGTAAGTCCCAAGCCTACTTTAGGACAGTCTTGTGGTTAAAAATTCTGAGGGAAGATCCAAACAAGAAACTAAGCCAAGGCCAGAAAAGTCTCCTTAAACTAGCAAGAGAATACTTCACTGTGGACTCTTCCCATGAGGTGGCTTTACTGGGAGGAGACGGTTTCACAGGCCTCACTACTGCCTCCTACCACTTCTTCGGTCCTACCTCCTATTCCAAATTCCCTTGCCATCTGTGGTATATTGCTTATAAAAAGTGCCAAAGTTATTCCATTCCCTATACCCATTACCCTTACAATATGACTTTTGTAGGGGCTCCCATAAAGATGAGGAATCTATTTCTCCATGTCTTAAAACTGGTCTCTGGCCTATGGCTTGCTTTGAACAGAATGAAGCAGAAATGACAGTGCATGAGGTGACCCTAAGCCTAACAGGTGGCTTTGCATTCTTTACCTCTCTTTTGGAACCCTGCTATACTATTATGAGCATAACTTAAGGTTAGCTTGAAGGATAATATACAATCTGGAGCAGAGATAAGCTGACCCAGCTAAAGACCCCAAAGACTACCCCAGCCCCTATCCAGATCATCAACTGATTAACTGAGTTCAGCTAAGATGAGAACTGCCCAACGAAGCCCAGCTCAAATTACTAAGCCACAGAATTACTAGCTAAATAGGTAATTATGTCAGTAACTCGGGGGTGGTTTGTCAAGCAAAATAAGCTAATTAATACATTACCCAGATTGGCAAATTTTTTCAGAGTAGCTCCACAGTCAGTTCAAACTAACAGGTATTATTTTCAGACTTCCTTGTTTTTGCCCAGTGGAATTCTCTTTACTTCCTTGCGAACTAATCTATGATATTTACTTAAAAGGACCTTTTGATTCCACAGAGTTTTCAAGTTATCTAGCCTGTCATATAACTAAAAAACCAAGGAGAATCTAACAACCATCTCATCTCACAGCCAGGTGAGCTAAAGTTAATAAAAATTTTTTAAATCAAGGATACACATTTAACAAAATAAACCATAAATGAACTCGTAGAAAGGCTATGACAAACACAGAGAGCTCCTTGAAAAGACATCACTTTGCTGACAAAGGTCTGCACAGTCAAAGCTATGGTTTTTCCTGTAGTCATGTACGCATGTGAAACTTGGACCATAAAGAAGGCTGAACGCGTAAGAATTGATGCTTTTGAACTGTGGTGCTGGAGAAGACTCTTTGGAGTCCCTTGGACAGCAAGGAGATCAAACCAGTCAACCCTAAAGGAAATCAACCCTGAATATTAATTGGAAGGACTGATGCTGAAGCTGAAACTCCAATACTTCAGCCACGTGATGCAAAGAACTGACTCATGTGAAAAGACACTAATGCTAGAAAAGACTGAAAGCGGGAGGAGAAGGGGACGAAAGAGGATGAGATGGTTGGATGGCATTACCGACTAGATGGACATGAGTTTGAGCAAGCCCTGGGAGTTGGTGATGGACAGGGAAGCCTGGCGTGCTGCAGTCCATGGGGTCACAAAGAGTCGGACATGACTGAGCAACTGAACTGAACTAAACTGATGCAGAAACGACTCACTGGAAAAGACCCTGATGCTGGGAAAGATTGATGGCAGGAGGAGAAGTGGGCGACAGAGGATGAGATGGCTGGATGGCATCATCGACTCAATGGACATGAGTCTGAGCAAACTCTGGGAGATAGTGAAGGACAGGGAAGCCTGTCTGGCATGCCACAGTCCATGCGGTTGCAAAGAGTCGGACACCACTGAGCAACTGAACAACAACAAGCATATAAAACAAACTGCTGTGGCTGAAGAAGGGCTTAACGTTGCCCAGTCTGCCTCCTTCAGGAAGTAGTACTGTGATATTTTAAAGGAACATATCAATAATTTAAAAATTACTGTTCAATCCTAGTTCATTAAATTCTTCCACACACTGGTCTACTAAAGGTGTGGTTCTTAATCCTGGACACATTTTGGAATTGCCTAGGAGTGAGCCTAGGCAACAACATATTACTAAAAACTCTCCGAAGGATTACAGCATAATTAGACCCACTGAACAAACATAACTATCTCAAGTCCTCTATTTGTTGTAATAGTTCAAAAACAGTACAATACTGTACTACTGGAATTTGAACCCTTTCCTTTTAGATAATATCCCTTGATGAGTTCATATTTCTGGTATCCCTTGGCTGCTTCCTTCAAGAAGTTCCTGACAATTATTTGTTAAAGAAATAATACATAGTTCTTGTAATACCAGCTACCTGCAAATCAAACCAGTGAAGATATCAACTGACATTCCCTCTGTAGATAAGTTCTTACATTTCTATCAATATATAACTGAAATTCCTCCCCAAATCCAACAGTTAAATAAATGAAATTATCGGAAAGAACTAAGTTTACAGAGCTAAGAGTAACTGTTCAAATCATGCTCATCTTAACAATGAAGAATTACAAAACTGGATTAACAGTAAATAATCTGTGATATCTCAAAGGAGACTGATTAAATATTTCATCAGAAAAAAATTACCTAAAAATATTTATAATCTTTTAATGAATTATGTATGAAGTTGAACAAGAAAAGTTGAACTCTCTACACATTAGTGAATATATATTCATTTATAACTTCAACAGTCTAATAAACATTACAATAGTAAGCATTTCTGCCCATTTATATGTTGAGCTTTTATTCATCTTTTACAATAGATCCTGATGAAGGCTTTGTCAAATTATTCCCATAAATCATTTTTCAAATACACAGTCAAACAAAACTGAGCAAAGGAACAGGGTTCACTAAATCTGACCCAGCAGGAAGAACAAGAGAAACAGTCTGCTAAAGATTTCAGATGTTCAAATTTTCAAACACAAGAACCTAGAATAATTATGTTTAATAGTTGCTTAATGTCCAAAGAGGTAAAGTCCAAGGCTGAAAACTGACCAATAGCTAGAAATATTAAATTTTAAAAAAACTTTCAGATTTTTGAAAAGAGTATGAAACATTAGGACTGAAAAATCACAATAATCACATTTGAGATCTTACAGGTTTAACAAAAATTAGATATGGGAATTAGTGAACTGAAGCATAAATCGTAAAAATAATCAAATAATCGTAAAAAATAATCAAGAGGCAAAAATGCAGAAAGTTAAGAGAGAAACTATAAGGTGGAGTGAGACCATTTAATACACATCCAATCAGGGGCTTCCCTGGTGGCTCAGGGATAGAGAATCTGTCTGCTAATACAGGAGACACGGGTTCAGTCCCCGATCTGGGAAGATCCTACATGTGGTACAGTAACTAAAACCATGCACCACAACTATTAAGCCTGTGCTCTAGAGCCCAGAAGCCACAACTACTGAGCCCACATGCTGCAAATACTGAAACCCTCAAGCCCCAGAGCCCATGCTCTGCAACGAGAGAAGCCACTACAATGAGAAGCCCACACACTGCAACTAGGGGGTAGGCCTCATTTGCAGAAAAGCCCATGCAGCAACAAAGACCCAGTACAGCCATAAACAAATAAATAAAATTATTTTTACAAATATACATCCAGAGTCCTATGAGGAAAGGAAAAACTGTATCTAAAGAGATAAGAGATTAGAATTTCCCATAACTGATCAAAGATATTACTCCAGATTCAAGAAGCCCAGTAAGAAAATGAGGAAATTCATTCCTTAACAAAGAAAAAAGAGACAAATTGTCTTCAAAGGAGCAACATACCAACAGCTGAATTCTCAAATCTGAAGCCAAAGGACAGGGGAAGGTTATCTTAAAAGTGCTGAAAGCAAACGTCAAGCTACAATACTATAACCAACAAAATCATTCATGAATGAAGGTGCAATACAGGCATTTTTAAATATGCAAAGAATCTGCCACCTGCAAATCTACATAAAGGAAATTCCAGACAATGGTTGACAAATGGAAAATGATACTAATTAT